TTCGTGTCTTCTTCTTCTCTTCTCTCTCTCTACTCTCCTCCTCCTCTCTCTCTCTCTCTTCTTCTCTCGTATTACTACTCTCTCTTCTCTCCTTCCTCTCTCTCTCTCTCTCTCTCTCTCTCTCTCTCTCTCTCTCTCTTGTTTCCCTTTTTCTGTCGTTTCCTCTTGCTCTTCTGCTCTCGCTTGTTCTCTCTCTTCCTCGCCACTCACAAGCAAGCGAGGATCTCATTTGTGCAAAACCTGCGTCGCCGCACGTGCGCGCGTGCGTGCGTGCGTGCGTGCGTGCAGTGCGCGGCAAATGTTTACACGGATTTTTTTCACGCCGGATTCATCTCCAGTTGTCGGATAAACAAACAAATGCAGCTGCCCCGAGCGGGCGATTGCTTGCCGTGGGGGCAATCAGCTGCAACTGAGTGATGCTGTACAGCCAGACTGCAGAGGGAGGAGGGGGAGGGGGAGGAGGAGGAGGAGGAGGAGGGAGGGGGAGGAGGAAGAGGGCCTGCCGCTGCTGCTGGTGGTGCTGCTACTGCTAATGCTGCGGCTGGTGGTGGTGCTGCTGCTGCTGCTAATGATATTGATGATGATGCTGATGATACTGGTGATGCTGCTGCTGCTGCTGCTACTGCTGCTTCTGTTGCTACTGCTACTGCTGCTGCTGCTGCTGCTGCTCCTGCTTATGCTGCTGCTGCTACTGCTTCTTCTTCTGCTGTTCCACTGATGATGTCGTTGATGATGATGATAATCATGGTGATGATGATGATGATGATGATGATGATGATGATGATGATTATATTAGTGATGCTGTTGCTACTCTTGCTGCTTCTGCTACAGCTACTGATGCTGCTACTGATGCTGCTGCTGCTACTGCTGCTACTACTACTACTGCTAGTACCACCACCACCGCCACCCACCACCACCACTGCTGCTATACTACTAATACTGCCAAGCCAAGGCTACTACTAAGCCATGCTCGTGGCGTCATCAGGGAAACAGCTGCCCGGGTGCGAAGCGCACATGGCAGGGCGCGCACGTGCGTGGGTGTGTATATCTGTGCCAGTTAAACGAGCGACTATCCTTGAGTGCGGGAGGGAGTCCGATTCAATGACAGACAGGCGCGATAGCCGACGATTCTCATTAATTATAATTAAAACAACGTTGCGTTTCATATATATATATATATATATATACGTCCGCTTCGCTCGCTCTCAGATATCATTGCGTGTGAAAGTAATTATTTCCCCTCTTGGATGAGTTCTGACATGAGAGTCTACAGTTCCGTTTTCACTTTCCCTGCGTTTCGCCGGCGGCTTTTCCGATCTCCAGGGCAACCCAGCGCTGTCTCTGCTAGCCATCGATTATTCTCGCGTACATGGAATATTATCGCTGCAGATCTGGTACGCGGTTATGCGCGATACTCATCAGCATGCCTGTCATCTTTAGATGTAAGGCGTATGCCAGCAGACGCTGTCAGGGAAGCACGCGTTTCTTAATCACGATTCGCTATCGAAATTTCCTCGTTCCATACGCGTTTCTTATTCATTTATTATCGAGATTCCCTCGTTCCCCTCATTTTTCACGTGAAACCACGTTCCGGTTTAATGTGTTCTCATTAGCATCGAATGTCGTGGAACTGCGGTGCGCTATTCGATGACGTCAGCGGAGGTATTTCGATCGACGCGCCAGATGTGTGAGCGGACACGTTTATAAGCAGGACTGTTTATAAATAGTCGTGACACAAAGATTAGTGTAGGGAGGGATGAAGCGCAATGTATTGCATCTCTTAGCCGAATCGGAATACATTCTCTTCCCATAGTGGAATACTGTTCCACGTAAACTTGGTCCGACCTTACTGCTACGGAAAGTCTTGCGGTACTGACGGTTCCGGAGTTTCTCTTGCTTAGAGATAGAGTAAATAAAGAAAGTAAGAATAGAACATAATACCAGTCGCGCCCGCAGTGTTACACGTACCTTTCACAGCTGTCTGATCGCTGTCTGGCCAGCCCCGATGCGCTCACTGCAGTATCACTGTAAAAGACGCAGGAGAAAATGAACGCAGTCAAAACGAAAGCTGTTTACCGATGAATTGGGGCGGGTACAATGATGACACAATTGTTAGGTATCTATTAGGCAAAAATCTTTCGATTCGTGTGGATTAGGGATTCCAGAGTTTTGATTACATTATAATGAGACGTTCCTCTTGTTATTTCATTTATTCAATTGTAATCACTATGTAACATTTCTTATCTTAGCTATGATCAGAGAGAGAAAGAGACAAAACGAAAGAGAGATAGAGAGACAGAGAGACGGGGAGATGGCGAGAGAGCGCTGAAAAAGACAGATGGGTGGGGAGAGAGACAACAGAGAGAAAGAGATAAAAAGAGACAGGGTGATAGAGATAGAGATAGAGAGAGAGACAGATCGACAGAAAGCGAAAAAGGTAGAGAGAGGGGGGCGAGAAAGAGAGAGAATTAAAGACAGGCAGAGAGATTGAGAGAGCGAGAGAGATAGAGAGCGAGCGACCGAAAGCGACAAAGAGAGAAAGAGCGAGCGAGAGAGAGAGAGAGAGAGAGAGAGAGAGAGAGAGAGAGAGAGAGAGAGAGAAACAGAATAAGAAGAAGGAAGAGGGAGACAGACCGATACTTAACGCGCGTTTTCACGTACCTATCAACTTCTTTACTCGAATCTGTATCTACATCAACACCGGTATCGTCCGCGAGCGCAGTCGCATTCTGATTGGCTTCCCCCTCGCTTTCGTCGAGACGTCCAAGTTGGCCGCCACCCAAGATGGCCGCCACGAAGCTCGGCGCCCTGCTACGCAGTTGAGTGTCGGTGGCGACCTCTGCTCCCGCCGACAGAGATCCAGTGGTGTTGGATCTGCGAAAGATGATCCGCGATTGCTCCTTCTTCCGTCCGAGCTGCGGACTGTTCCTACACGACGATAGAAACTTGTAATTGATACATGGTATTCAAAAGAGAGCAATAGGCAGTGGGAGATCGCCCTATCCGTCTGATAGTTGGATAGCCACGCCCTACCTTGGATATTGTTGCTAGGCCGGTCAAGTTTAGGTCGGTTTAGATCACGTTTATACAGTGCTTTTGCGGCCAAATGGTCGATTTCGTAACACTTCGTTGATGAGCATTGTGTTTTACAACGTCGTATCGCGACGATGATTGGCTCAAGCTGCCTATCACTCACGCCAGACGCATAGGTCAATTTTCAATCAGGTTAAGGTCACAGGTTCAATAGGTCAGGAACGCAAGCGAATTTAATCGGGAAAGATGAGACTGGCTGTTACATGCATTGTTGTTACTCGCTTTTCAGCGATTATGGGCTGATTTGGATTTCTCGATCAGTCAGGGCACGTTCCCATTTGTTCATTACCTGATCACTTCACTCTTACTCTACTTGTATCAACGGATGTAAGAATTCAATAATAATTATAATAATCAAATAATAATAATTAAAAATAGTTTGATTTATGCATCACATCTACTGAAGTGTAGACGATCAGTTACAGCGTGTGACCGAACGCGGACGCTTACAGACGCGTATCATCAAACGATAATTCGTTTTTACCGTGCCTGGTCGATTGCTAAGATAAAGCGCTAATAAACGTAAACTACGTTTATATGTTCTTTATATTTGCCTTTTTTCGAATTAGCATCCGTGCAACATAATTTATACGTTCTAGACACATTAATATAACACGGTAACTATCTCCAAGGCTAGGTTCGTTAGTTGGATATAAGCTATATGGTCATATAAATACTTTATGCGCATGCGCTATTCTCTGTGGCCTTGCTCCCTAAATGCAAGCTATATGGGAAGAACTACGTCTGTAAGACATTGCTAGCAAATTGTGAAAAAGGGATACTCTTACGAGGCATGCCTAGCTGATTGAATATAGGGATACTTCTATGTGAGCTATGGCTTCATGAATGAATACATCTGCGAGTACATAACTTTTCTAGCTAACTGTGAATAGGAATACCTCTATGACTGTGCGCTAGCTGACTGAGAGCTATGACCTTGTTAAGATAAAGAGTTAATAAACATAAACTATGTTTATGTGTTTTTATATTTGCATTTATCAAATTAGAATCTGTGCAACATAATACTTTTATAACTTTGCTAGCTGACTGAGAGCCATGACCTCGCGAAGAAATGTCTGTGCGTGCGCGCGTGTGTCCGTGTGTGCGTGCGTGCGTACGTGCGTACGTGCGTACGTGCGTGCGTGCGTACGTGCGTGCTGCGCGCGTTCGTGCGTGCGTGCGTGCGTGCGCGTGCTGCGTGCGTGCGCGAGCTGCGTGCGTGCGTACTTGAGCACGGTGGTGGTCGTCTGGCCCGACGGCGTCGTGACGGAGAGGAGCTGCACGCCGGTGGCGCCCTCTGTCTGCGTGCTCGTGCAGCACGTGACAGCGGTCGGGTCGCCTCCGCGCAGCAGATTGAGGTAGTGAGCGACGGGCAGCTTCTGGCTGAGCGAGACGGACGAGTTCTGCGTGCTCGTCGACTTGTTGCTGTTGCGCTCGTCGGCCTCCTGTAGCAACTCGATCGTCAGCGCATCTATAGTAGATAGTAGAGTGTAGATAGTAGATAGTAGATAGTAGATAGTAGATAGTAGATAGTAGATAGTAGATAGTAGATAGTAGATAGTAGGTAGTAGATAGA